TACAAAGACAAAATACAGGCATTTGCCAACTATAAAATGGATTTTTTTCATTTGATATGTTTCCTTTTCTTGTGCAACAATGGTAAGAAACCTTGATGGGATGAACAGTACAAATAGAAGTTTAACAAGCTCTCTCCTGAATCCAGGATCACACAAAAAATAGATTCAGCAAAGATACTAGGTTTCTACTAACATGATGGACCCTCAGAAAATGGATTAACCATTTGTTGTGGTTTAAGCTCAGCCACCAAGTAAGCTGCTCGCTCACTCCCCCTCTGGTGGGATGGGGGAAAGAATTAGAAAGGTAAAAGTGAGAAAACTCAGGGGTTGAGATAGAGACAGTTTAATAAGTAGAGAAAAAGCCGCATGTGCAAGCAAAGCAAGCCAAGGACTTCATTCAGCACTTCCCATGGCAGGCAGTGCTCAGCCATCCCAGGACAGCAGGGCTCCGTCCCGTGTTAGGGTGACTTGGGCAGACAAACGCCATCGCTCTGACCGTCCCCCCTTCCCCTCCTTCCCCCAGCTGTCTGTGCTGAGCAGGACGCCCTGGGGGCTGGGACACCCCTGGGGGCAGCTGGGGTCGCCTGTCCTGGCTGTGTCCCCTCCTGACTTCTTGTGCACCCCCGGCCTCCTCGCTGCTGGGGTGGGGTGAGGAGCAGAAGAGGCCTCGGCTCTGTGTAAGCGCTGCTCAGCAGTAATGGAAACATCTCTGAATTACCAACACTGTTTTCATCACAAATCCAAAACATAGCCCCATAGTAGCTACTGTGAAGAAAATTAACTCTACCCCAGCCAAACCAGCACACCATTTTAAAGACAATTTCAAATATAATCAGCTGGATTCAATCCTGCAATGAGTTGTGCCTGGGCAGCCAGCTGGGTCCTTCAGGGGTCCCACCAACTTCAGCAAAATCAGTGGGAATGCAGAGAGACATCACCTTTAATTCCTACACTATTGAATGCAGGCTCAACTCCTCAGCAGCTTAGGGTTCTCCTTTCCCCCCCTCCTTTCCCCAGGCCTCTCCCTCAGACACGGCAGCCAGACACCCTGCGACTCACCCACGAGCAGGCAACGTGCCTCTTTCCCTCCCACCCTCCCCTCTCCTTGTGAGCATTTGATAGCAGCAATAGCTCCCGGCCAACCCCATGCAGGAGGCAGCTTTTGTACAGACAGTATTTTCTGTTCAAACAGGCATTCCCAGCTGCTCCCAGGGAACAGAACATGAATATCATCACTTTTCTGGCTGAAGCTATGTGATCTTAGCCAAGCTTCAATCTGACCAATAGGTCCTTCCTTAAAAAGCCAGGGAAGGAGTAGCAAGCAGTGTGTGGGTGTCCACCCAGCGTGACACTGCTGCCGTGCCTGCGGATGAAAGGGGCTCGGGGACGTTTCAGGGAAAGACAGTATTGATCCAAACATTTGAACATTTCCTCTTGAACACATGCAGACTGTACGGGCAGCAGCAATTTGGCCTTAAAAAAAAAGAAACCTAAATTCAGCTTAGAAAAATAAAGCAAAAGAGAGATGATTGACACTTTTAATGTTAAATACTTAAAAAAATCCAATTATCAAAATCTCCAAGTGAATATTATTATGCTCACTGGCCTGAAGGTGAATATTTTGGTGGCAGAATGGTAGGATATAGGAATCCCAAGTACCCCAAACACTACAAAAGTACTTCAAATCAAATGCTATACATCTACCTATCCATACCTATACATTTACCTGAAGGTAAGCAACACTGGAGGGAGAGCAGGTAGCCAATTGTATCTTGCTTTCTTCAGTGCTGGCTTGTGTCCAAACAGGCATGCCAAGGATGATGAGCTGCCATCTCAGTTACTGCTCTCTCCCTTTTTAAAGACCTGATCCAAAACTAAGTGAAGTTTACTGAAAGACTCCAACTGACCTAAGGCTTTGGTTGACCCTTGTGTCCTAATTTCCTCTGTTACCAAGATGGAAAAAAAGAGATTCTATTGTTAAAAAAACAACCAAACAAAAAAACCCACAGAAGAGAAAAACCCAGCAGAATAGAATTTCAAAGCATCAAATGGAACTAACAGGGCTTTAAAGAGAAGGACTAAGCAGAAAGCATAAATAACATGTAACCCAAAAAGAGCTTAGAAACAGTTACTCACCTGAACTTTTGAACTCACCTTTCCACTGTACTATCATATATAGAAATGACGTGACTGACAGACTTGAAAGCCACATTTCAAATTTTGCAGATGAGATTAAATTAGAGAAAACATTCAAACCATTTCTAATACAATGAAAGTGTTAGATTGATTATACTCTTGGATTAACAGATGGTAATTGCAGATACACAAAGACTTTTAAGTCTTCAAGCAAAGAACCTGCAGAAGAAATAGCTATTATTTGGACAGGCACTGGAGCAATCTACCTCATAAAATAGATAAAACTTACAGTGTAATATTGTTAAGGTTTTCAGCCAATGTACATATGAAATGAAAAATAGAGAATCAGATTGCTTAAGGAATAATGGAGAGATAAAAGGACCGACAGTTTTATTGTGTAGACACTGGTTAGGTGTCACACAGCCTTCAATCACTGAAATGAAAAAATATTTTCACTATACCAGTAGCAAGCAGAGAAAGAGTAATGTAATTAAGGATGTACTCAGAGATGCCCTGTCAAACGCCTGCTATCACTTGGAAGAGCCAACGCTAAATCAGGCTATTCCACACAGGGAGGGAAGGCTAAGGTGTAGACTGCCCATGGACAGCCAGCTCAAAGACCACACGCGACCAGCCAGCACGACTCTGGTGTTGGCACTCCTCTTGCAAACACGGGATTCATCACTACGTGTCCTGTTGTATTCGTGCTCTTCATGAAAACCATGTGTGGTACCAGGTTAGCACAAATGTATAGCAGAGTATACAAGTACTGTATAATACTTTTGCTGAGTTTTTTTAGACAAGTTGCAAAATGGAATCCCTGGCATTTCAGCATTAGGTGGCAAGTGAAAAGTATCCAAATGTAGTAGCTATAAAATCTCACGGCTGATCTAATGTTTCTGTGCTTGAAGTAGGCTTTTATATCCAAAGTTCTGCCAATCATATAAATTACTGACAAAACTATGAAAATCAAAACTAAGGGTTTAAAAAACGCAGAGTTTTTCTTGAGCAATCATAATATTGATAAACAGATGGGCTGGGTGATACAAACGTACAAGCCTTTCCATGCCAGGTGCAAGATTTCTGTTCTCGCCTACACATACATAACCACGGTTGACTCCCTCACCCATGTTCCTTTGATTGAAACTATTTATTTGGGATTCTCTAAAGTATTCATAAAAGCAGTGTATATGCTATGGAGAAGTGCAATGATCAAAGTATTTGCAACAGCTACTACCCTGTGTAGTACTAGAACAATCAATATTGGTCATAGTATGATCCGGTGTTACTCTGACAAACCTATGCTGTGAAAGCTCAAACAAATGCAATGTTGCATCAGTTCTCAGAGCCAAAAAGAAAGAGATGCTGCTCATGACATTTTTAAAATCTACAAAATAGTGTCATTTTGTTCACATACAGCAATGATTAAGAAGTATTAAATCTTAATCTGTCACAAAAATGCTACGTGATTTCCAAACCCCTCCCTGTTCCTGGAATTTGCAAAAAACAAAAGTTTCCTGCTACTCAACAACTTCCACTTAAACTTGGAATCCCCCTGACAAACTGGCAGCACAGAGGTGCAGGAGCACAAACCAAGGGTTTGTGTAGAACTAAGAGCAGCTTCTCTCCCACATGCAAGTTTTGGGAGTTTGAATTCAAGCATGACATTTATTTGTTCACATGTGGACAAACATGGAACGTGATGAAGGCTAACTGGAAAATACCAGCTTAAAATAAGATCCTAATCTTACGTGCCTCAGACAAATCTCTCAAACATGGGAGATGCAAGTTCAAACCCATTTTGGGGTGAAGAAATCCCTTGTCTCCTGGACAACACCACTTCATAAGCAGAAAATTCAAGTGGACGGCATTTTCCTAAGGACAACTTGTGGTATCAGGGGAGAGCCATGCAGACCTTGCCTCCCGCTCTGTGCTTTACCTATCCCCGCAGTAAGAAACCAGGGCCCATGTTGAGACAATCTGCCTGAAAATCCTGCCTAAATGCCTATCTCTCCTGAAATCACTTCAACCTGCTAAATATATTTTAGCAGTATCTCATTTGAAGTAGTTTTCTAAGCACCAAGATAACACGCCTGTGTTAAGGACTGAGGCTGTAGACATTAATCAGGAAAACCTCCTGCCACTGTAACTGTGTCAAGACCACCGGATCACACTCTAACACAATTAATTTCTTCACACTAGCTAATGGAGGGGTGTACACACGTGTACACGTGGCATTGCTTTATTTATTTCCAAGGTCCAGTAGTTGTAGCTCTGTGAGGCAGTGACCAGAAGAGAGAGCTGTGGATCATCCCTGTAAGGGTCAGAGAGCTGTCAGCCCTTGGGTACGCACAGCCAGCACTGCAGCAGCCTTCTGGGGAACTCCTGATCCACCCAGTGCTGGGCTCACCTGTTGTGATGATTGTCACGACATACTGCTCAGAACTACGAAAAGAGCAATCAGAAGATCTCCTGCTTCAAACGAACCATCTCAATTCACTCCAGGGCCTGAAAACACTTTGGAGATAGAGTTGAAAAAACAAAGCTTGTTTTTACAAAGACTGCAAGTTTTTAGTCCTAGCAGATTTACCAACAAGTCTTGTAATAAAAACAAAAAAAACCCCTCAAAAAATCCCCAAATCTTAGATGATTGAAACTGATGCTTATTTTCAATGTTGTTTTCCTGCTGAGTTTCTGTTTAAATGTAGGCTTAATACAATTTCCCCCCATAAAACAAACTCGCAGTCTGGAAAATAGCGAACCTCCTCATCTTGCTTTACTGCTGAAACCAGACCTTCTGGAGACAGTTCTTTCTTTGCAAGAAAAACCACATTAACCGTGACAAATAAGACTGAGATCAATGTTTTATTAGGGACAGACTCCTGTTACAACCTGCACAGATTATTTTAAATCATGCCTTTGTGTCTAAATTACAATTTTCATTTGAATAGTATTTTTGGATAGAAAAAGGGATTTGTCCTCAGTGTCTGAAATCCCTGTCGGGGTACCAAAAATATAGCAGGAGCTGTCAAGAAAGTATGCATTCTTATATTAAAGCTATTATTCTGACCAGTGCATATGCAGCACAGTACATATACCTCCAGATATCTTTATTTCCATTTAGATATGTTCTGTAGCAAAAGCAGCTTTGCCCTCCTAGCCAATGCAGTAGCACTGAAGAACTTATAAAACAGGAGCAAACATAAAGGTTTTAATTATTTTTACCTCAGCTGCATGTTCACACATATCTCTCCTGAGAAAACAAAAATTCTGCACATACAGTTGTTTGCAAACTAATGCTTTAGATACATTTCTAAGTAGAAGTTAATTTGCTTGCACACTTACAGAAAATTTATAGCCAAACCTAAGTCTGGATGTCTCTGAACAAAGCAGCACGTTTTGAGAAGTCTATCTGAAACAATAGCAAATATTAGGTTATGTGCACTTATCCCATATTGGAGGGAAAATGGTTACGGCAGTCTGCTCAGCAGCAAGTCATTTAACATAACATTGTACCGAAAAGCTGCGTAGATTTCAGAGTGTAAAACCTATTGATAGTTACATTTTGACTGATTTATAAAATGCATCTAGATCACATCCAAAATATTAAGTGTAGCTAACTGCTCATACAATAAGCCTCTGGTCTCCTGCCACAACTTGCCTAAATGGGACAGCTGCAGGAGACCTGCCCACAAGTCCTTATTTTGGGAGATGGACTGAAAACTGGGCTCTGAAAAAAATTTGTCATCCCTGGGGACAGAGCACTTGGCGTTATGTGTTTTCCTGCTGCACAGGTACCAAAGCAATGGAAAATGCACAAATAAGGGAGATACTGGGGGGCTTGGGGATGGAAACTGGGGTGGTTGCATGGGGGTGTGTAGGGCCATGAGTCCTTCCTCAACTGCAGCAGGACAGCATTGGAGTCGATGACCAACTTGAAGCATCTCCTGGGCTGAATTCCTCCTTCCACCAGTGACACAAGAAGACTTCTGTTCAAAACATGCACAGAATGCTGGGGAGCAAGGCTGCAGGAGGCCGCTTTCTGTGTGCGCAGATGATATAGCCACACTGCCCTGCTAAATAGCTTAGTGCATGCGCAAAACTTGAACTTGGAAGTGCAAAAACATTGCTTCAGATTTTAGGACTGTAATTTTAAAAGCCTGGTTGAGAATTCTATCAGAATATGGAAATTACATGCATAAACTTACTTTCTCTGCAAAAGTGACACATGCTCCAGAAGCCTCCTATTGACATGTTTTCCGTGCTGAATTCTCTCTTGAACTTGGAAAAAATCAGAGCTTCTAACTACTTCTGACTTCCATTCTGCTATACATACTATATTTGTGCAGATTATCATTAAAAAAAAATTAACATTTTCATAAACCAGAAAGATTGTATTAAGGTCATGCAATGACTATTTATAGTCGTATTACTCTTTAGTCCCTGGTAAATAACTACAGTATGACAACCACCAAAAATAATCACATAATGTGACATTATCACACTCCTACTAGTTACAGCGTGGAAAGTGAATAACAACACGGTTAAAAATTTCTCCCTAGAAGCTCTGAAGAGGGGCCAGAAGAAGGACAGAGGAGGATGATGAAACACAGATCTGGAAGCACAGCAGATCCTGCTGTTTCCCTGAGTGAAGATTAGTGGCCCACCATGCCTCAGTGGAATTGCTTCACAGCTTTACGCTGCACTAGGAGGGAGAGAACAAAGAAAATTAGGAAAGAAAGTGCCATTTGGATTTGTATAGTAGCAAATAATATACCTAAGAAAGTTCATGAATTCAGGCTATAATCTCATCTTAGATTATGATCATGTGAATAAATAGTTCCTTCCGGTCTCTTACGGATTTAAGATACCTCCAGCCAGACTCTCAGCGGAATGAGATGCTCACTGTGGGCACTGAGGGGGTGTTTTCAGCTCTGCTAGTTATATTCTTCATGAGCTGCTTTTCCTTTCATAGCACCCCCCACCCCCATTTTCTCTCCTTTGCACATACGCATACAAGATGACAAACTTTCTTCATTCCCCCTCCATGATACCACATCTTTTTGCTACTACGTGGAAAGATGGAGCCAAGAGGCCAAAAGTTTAGCTTCATTCCACAGCACAGAGATGGGGGAAAACTATAAATTTATGGCAAATCACGAAGCGTTATCCTGCAAACTGAAGAAGGTGCAAAGCTGAGCCATCTGGCAGTCTCTCCTTCCTCCCTCTGAATCGCTGTCACATTTCAAGATCAGCCTGTGTTTTCCATCAAAAATTGGGAACCCATAGGCCACAGGCTGGGAAATATCTAGAGAGTAGGTGGAAAAGGAGGGGCAGGAAGCTTGAATCCTCACTTCATACTTTATTTTGTGTTGATTTTCTTCCAATCTGCTGCTTCTGCCTCTCCTAGGAGAGGGAGAGGAGCTGGCAGCCAGCAGGTAGGCACTCCGTTGGTCCTTCGGCCACAACCACCAGTGCTAGAGTAGTCGGGAAGCAGGACTGAACCCTGATATTTCCTAGGAGTCCTCCATTTCTGCAAGATCATGAGACCAATACACTCGGTCTACTGCAGGAGACCTCTCCTCTTGCAAAAAATCATCCTTCCCCCCACCCTGACTCAAAAGCTGCAGCTGACATTTGGCTCCATATTACTGCGTTTGAGCAAACCAGCTTCTGCAGAGACTGAGAGGAACGTGAGCACAAATTCAGCTCTTTCGATGAAAAGAGAATTTTTCTCTGTGTAGGTATGTGATTGTTTAGGCTCTGTTTGAACAGAGTTCATGGATAAGCACGGGTACCCATGACAACGCAGTGCGTACAGGCCTGGATGTTCTGCATAGGGATAGGTGGGTTAGGACATCCACAATGAGACGGATCTTCCAAATGAGGGATGACAACACATCACTTACATCTGTGATGTAAAAGAAAACATTACCATTTCATGCTACATACTTGAACTCCTCTAAGTACCTTTCCATTTGTACTATAAATAAATAAGTTTTACTTTGAGTATGCTGTTCTTGCAGGTAAGCAGAAAAGGCTTGTTCCCTTATGGAGAAATGTATTGGCTATGGGAATGACAACAAGGCAACACTTGTACAGCCCAGCAAACCCTGGAAAAGAAGATAGAAAAGTGATACACAGAGTGGCTCCGAGTTTACTTGGTTTGCTGTTCTTATTCTGTTTTCTCATTTCTGTTACCAATCCAAATTTCTTGAATCTTGAGCGGTAAAATACTGGCTTAACTAGTAAAGTAAAACTACAGTGTAATCACAGTCCTGACCCAATTATTTCACTCTGCTGGGCAATCATTCCCTTCTGTAGGTGAGGACTGCAACGTAGAACAGTAGTCTGGAGTGAAAACACTGCATGAGAACAGGATTACATGTTGGTTTTTTTTTTTCTTTTCCTATACATGCAACCACCAGAAGAACTGTTGTGATACATCCTTTGGACAGGTTCTTGTGAGGATACAGTACATGGAGGCACATACTTCCATGCATTTGCTTAGGAGTCACAGCGGACCTCCTTCATATCTCAGTTCCATCTCTCTTCCATAGAAGGACCACTTTTTTTTTTTTTTTTTTTTTTTATCCAAGTATTATGCTTAAGTGGGACTTGCTCTTATGTCAGAAACTGCATCACAACGTAAGAAGACAGAATGTGTCCTTTAAATGCCCTGGAAATATTGCCCCTTATAAAGGTGCACAAAATGCCACAAAATTCAGAATACACTTATGTCTCTTTTACTCATACTGAGACCTTTGAATAGTGCTACTATTACCATTTATTTGATTGGGGCAGTATTTACTGCAACATATTCATGCTAATTTCCAGGCAACTGCCTCTGTCTGATTTACGATGTAAGTTCTTTCTTTTTTTAAGCTATTCTTGCAAGCTTTTCATTAAAGCAGAAGAGAATCTATAATGGATTCAATATGTAATGCAAAGATTAGCTTTGAAAATAGACTTATTTCTGCCTAAGTCATCAAATATTACATGTACATGAGTAAGTTCTGAGAAAGCCAAGTGAAATAAGAAGCTGCCTCTGAAGATGATACTGTGGGAGCTGGGTATTAGAGAGATTTTCCATTTGCGCAGTCCTCTTTCCATTTCTGCACTCCGATCTTCCTCCCCACATTTGTACATTCTCCCTTTCCATGTCCTGTAGCTTCTTTGCCACCTCTGCTCCCTGAGACTCTTCTCCTTTTGTTGATCTTGTGTCCTCCATCATGCTTGTCTAAAGCGTGGAAGATACAATACATGGACTTCTGATATTTCTGCAGCATCAACACCAGTAACTAGCCAACATCTTCCATCCTCATTTGGCAAAGCTTCCACTGAAGTTAACAGTTAAAGAGTCAGCCTTAAACGCTGTGTATATTAAAATGGAAAGGAAAGCAAGGTGATGCTGTCAGTTAGCATCCCAGTATTTGGGTACAAAATTAAGAATCAAAGTCTTTTCTCAAATTAGAGCAGACATGAACTCTCAATAATAGGGTAGAACCTACCAGCAAAACATACAAATGAGTTCTGAAAAGCTATTTCTATTAATAATAAGCCATCAGTCCATCTGGACAAGATTTTTAAGTTCTCAGGGACATTACAGGCTAACAACTAAATCAAATTGGGTAACAAGGAGATGAAGGAACAGAAATCTTCAAGGCATCAGCTACAGTAAATGGAAGCAAATGGGAAGATATTCACAGAAATGACCTTTCAGCACACAGTCTGCTATGAAGGATCTGCCAAGGGGATCTGGTAAAAGCTAACACTTCAGGAGTAAACCCAACAATGACATATATCTATTTGGATGTCTAGCAATATGTAGCCAAAATGAGCAAATTTATCACGAATATGAGCAGCTTAATAATTTAGCTTACAGAATTTCAAGGCCAAGACAACATGCCCTGGTGAGCCAAAGTAATGCTAATTAAGTGTAGTTATCTGACACACTACTACAGACAACCAAGAAATTGCTCGATTCATACTTGACAAATAATTGGTCTGACAACTTTTTTGTTTTATTTGGAATAAGGTGCATAAAGATTCACCTTCCTCCTTCCCATCTTTATTTTCAGCTTATAGAGCTGCATAAATGACCAGTTAATATATTCATCAAACATTTTATTGGATCAATTTTTTAAAATGCTCATAGAGATCAAATGTTTTTTCCTTTTCTTTTTCTTGCTCGTGTCATGCCGCTACACTGAAAGTTACAGATGGCCAGGAGCACAGGAATCAGAACCTTGGGGAGCCCTCAGCCTTCTTGGTTACAAACAATAGCAGCAAGCACCTCTTTGTTAGCGGCTAGGAGACTTACAACACACTAGTGGCAACCTGGACTCCATCCATCAGGACCATTCCCCTTTTACCCTAGGAATACCCAAACCACTGCAATAGTTTTGCAAACAAGAGAAAGTATATTCAGATACTGCCAGAGCCTGAAGTATTCTAGTGACTGAAATTTTAAGATGCTTAACACTTTGCATTTATTTTTAATGTTACTCTGTGTAAAATCAGAACCATTAGAATTCTTTCTGTAAAAATATTTCAGTAAAAGCTTTGCTGGTAAGATAAGAAGATGCCTTTTGTTTAATCCCCCACATGTTTGCTATATTTTTCCTGCTGTTCCTGTTGCATTCAGTTTCTTCATTACTGGCTCAGTAGAGCAGAGCATGATGCTACTAGTTGTTTAAATATATTTGGGGGAAAAAAGCAACCCCACTACAAAACCCTAACTAACAGGATTGCTGTAAGCCCCGAGGAACCGCAGCATCGCCTCTGTGTGTAGGTGGCCTGAGCACATGGCAGACACAGCAAAGCACCAGAAACCTAAATACTACCACAGAGCTGAGGATCAAACTCAGTTCAAGTGTAAGCAAGTGTAATTACATCCAAATCAGTAGTTGTGCCTGCTTTTCCCAGTATGGTTTTCTGCCAAATGCATGTACCAGCAGCACGTCCCCGCAGCCAAGGCTGGCCAGCCTTCCAGAAGGCCCTGCTGGCCAACAAGGAGGGACTGTGCTGGCAAGCTCGTTTTGCCAAAAAGTGCCGTTTTACAAACATTGTTGTTTAGCAGCACTGTTATTGCTTCTGCTCATTGTGGGCTAGAAGTCTGTACTGCTTGGGAAATGATGAATTCCTTATGCAAGTGGCACGTTTGCATGACATGCTTGCATGTCACCTTTTATCTGCAGGGAGCGAGGTGGGGACCAGATAAGAAACTGAAAATTCAGCAAGGGGCGAGGTTCCCCGAGATGCGCCTCTGAAGCCCTAGCACAGCAGGTACTACAAGTAGAAGCTTGCAGGACATGGAAAATCAAACAGCAGTACAAACCTTACCAAAGCCCAGCTCAAAACTGGTGCAGACTGTGCCATGCTCTTTTTTAAAGCCTTCTGTTCTGCATGGCGGACATTACAGTGACGTTGGGTCAAATCCTGAAACAGATCGAAGCTCAGACCGACTATTCTCATACATAGATCCTACTTCAAATAGAGAAATCAGAGAAGGGGAACAAGTGATGAAACATACTCCAAATGCCAAAAGTCATCCCCCAGCTACTGCTGATCCAGAGGCACAGATTAACTTGCCATGACACACAGGGAGCAACAGCATCACTGGAACAAGCAATCCAACTTCAGTGTTTGATATTGCTTAATCAAAATGAAAGATGTTTGGCCTGTCTACCATGTGTCCCCCAATCAGAGATTCTCCACACTTTTACCGCGGGCCTACTCATCTTTCTTCCTAAAACAAATAATCTCTGAGTCTCATTGTAAACCACCAGCGACACTTAGTATTCTGATCACTCCCTGTAAGTCCACCTGGTATATAATGTTTTAAATCCAAGCGCTGTTATGGCCATGCATTTTCACTAGCTTCATGGTACAACACAATAGCTCTATTCAGCAAGAAGTAAATCTAAATTCCAGTCCTTGACTGATGAGGGTTATATAGGTTTGGGGTTTGGTTTTTTTTTTTAGACTTTTATGCATCTTGAAACCACATCTGTCAAAACATGTTAACTAAACAATGGGATACTTAAACACTCACTGCAATATCAAGAAGCTTTTTCTTCCTCCAATTTCATTGGTTACAAACCTTTCTGATCTTAAATGGTGACAAAGGATCATTGAAAAAGTCCCCACTGTCTGGTAATGTCTGGAAAACACTATTTATCCTAGACAGTTTATCAATGTGTCATTTAGCTCAAGAAGATTATAAAAAGGGATGAAACACAGCAGCTCCAGAGGGACTTCAAGCAATCCTGACAACACCCCCACTTGGCTCCTGCCTTCTCTGCTCCCACATCCCTGCAAAAAAAGGATCCTACCAAGATTTCTACCCTGCTGCCATATGGATGGAGCTGTGCCACACACCCTTTCACTTGACAGTGGATGAAATGCCTGACCCAACTTCCCCTGAGCATGAGGTGTGATCCCAGAAGCAGACAGCACTTCAGCAGCAATGAGAAGCAAAATACAGGGTCTGCTCCACGGACCACTAACATCACCTGGAGCTTCCGCAGGGACCCCGAGTTCTCTGTGAACTTCCATGCTGTTCTTTAAGCTGAAGTAACTGATAAAAGGGGAAGGATAGATGGAAGCCTAGGCCTGACTAAACTGCCAGGTCTAAATGGTGTATTGATAAAATGATAATAATTTCCTGTAATCCTGGAGGCTGTCCTTACACCTAACTTCTCTCATTTACCATTGTCCCGCTCTTCTGGTTGTAGGCAATGCCCATACTTCCCCATTAGCTTCTCTAGCAAAGAGCAAACTTCTGTGTCACATAACTCCTGGTGTGATTTATAAAGCCATCTAACTTGTTTTCTTCCTAGCGTATCTCATGTAACCTATTTGTCTTTTTATCACAGCATCTTATCTGCCCCTTATTTGCTGTAGCTATTTATCAAAGAGTTACAATAATATCTGTTCTTCTAAAGTTATTGATGTGGATGCCTCCACAGTCAAAACCTTGGCTTTGTCACAGGCTGGCCACACTGCTGTGATGCTGATGGAGCACGGGCTGTGGAACAGTGGCACTCCTGACCAACAGCCCTGTGGGGTAACGTCATACACCTCCCACCTCCGCTTTACCAGACTGTAG